GCCACGGAGGAATGGGGCAAGAGGAGGAAGGAAGGGGGGAGGCAGTCATTGAGCAAATTGAAGGGAGTCTCAAGCCAGAGCTGTTATTGAGAAGAGCTGCCGCCTATATAGTTCACATTGCACAGTAGTTACATGATTGCCTTGAAATTCAGAGGAAATCTCAATCGAAAGCTTCATTTTGAAAAGGACACGCCGCACCAGACCGAGCCACCGTTCCAGACCGAATCGACCACACGCTGCCCATGCCCTACCATGGGCCCACCGCCCTGTCACCCAAAAGCGTCGTCACCAGAGTCTTGCATGGGCTATGGTCGGGCGTGCGCGGTCTGCGGTCGGCTCGTTCCGCAGCGGGTTTCTGCCTTCTCCACCTGCCCCGCCTGCTTTTGCCTCTGCTGCCCTCCCTCGCGGAGCCGGTTCGGTTCTGATATGGGCAGGGCTTGCTTTCGCGGAGCTCCAGTGCCCAGAAAATGCTGGATCGCGCCAGTGGGCAGGGCACTCATGGCGGGCCGCGGCGAGGGCGCCGCCACGGCCAGGGCCGCCAGGGCGGGCGACGAGGGAGCTGATTCGGAGAGAGCGATCGAGAGCTTGCGCCAGCAGCTGACCGAGCTGCAGCAGCAGAACCGCGCTCTGGCCGTCGAGAACAACACGCTGCGCGCGCAGAGCGACGTTGGTTCCGCCACCGAGCAGGAGAGCGAGATCCCAGCTTCACAGCCGGGGTCGAGGTCGAGGACGCCGCCGAGGAACAGCCAGGGGGCCAAGCGGGACACGTTGGTCGACGCCTTGGAGCCAGGCACCGCAGGTTCGCCAGCGGCTGCGGCGTCAGCGGCAGGAGATGGCGCCATCGACGTTGGCAGTTCGAGCGCGGCGACTGCGGAGCCAGAGATGCCAGAGACGATGCCAGCGGCCGTCCCCTCGTCCAAGGAGATCCAGGTGATTGACATTCCCGACGTCGACGACACTCCCGTCTCGGGCGCGATGGCGCAGGAGATCGCCCTCGATGAGCTCGAGCTGGCGACCAACAAGGACAGGCAGAGGCCGCAGCAGGAAGGAGGTGGCGGCGACGAGTCCAAGGAGGAGAACCTTGGCGACATGGCGAAGGCGATAGAGGAGTCGAAGAAGGCCGAGGAGGCCGCAGAGAGCAGGAAGCGCCTCGAGGAGCAGCAGTTGCAGCGGGCGCTCGAGGCCAGCCAGAAGCCGACGCGTCAGGAGCAGGAGCTGCAGCGGGCGCTGGGCGACAGCAGGATGACAGCACCGCCAGAGGCCGTCGCTCACATGAAGGATGGGGCGAGCGCTGGCTGGAGTGCGACTTCGCGTTCAGCCGGGCCTCTGACGTCCAAGCCCACCGAGGGCGCCTGGGTGGCGCCTGGAGTGGCCAGAAGCAGCATCAGCAGTGCTGCGCCCGCAGCGGCCGCAGAGGCCAAGCCCGCGGCGGGCCCGAGCGACTGCAGCGGCGCCGCGCCCGCAGCGGCCGCAGGCGGCAGCGGCGAAGGCAGCGGCGCCGCCCAGGATCAACCAGAGGACGGAGGTTCGTCCAATGAGCCATTGAGTTCGCTCGGGCGTCAGGACCGCTACGCGAATTCGGCCGAGGAGGAGTGGTACGAGCAGGAGAAGCTGCGAGCTCGCCGCAGCGAGGCTCCGCGGGACTCGAAGACGGCGGCGACGACGACGACGATGACGACGACGACGACGACGACGACCACGAACACGACCAAGAACGCGACGACGACGACAACGACGACGACGACGACGACGCCCCAGCGCCCAGGCTTTCGACACGTCGGGGCACCAGGCGCAGCAGCGCTCGGGGCTCGCGGCGCAGACGGCCGCTGGGGACACGCCGCCGACGCCGCAGACCCTGGGCAGCAATGGCCAGCAGGATTTCCCCGCTGCCTTTGCATGCTGCTATTCGCGTTTCGTCGGCCCCACTCCACCCCTACGTTAGTCCGCACCTCGCCATCTCAGTGGGTGGCTGTATCCAGTGTCCTCCACCACCTCCACCTCTACCCTCGTTCTCACCATCATCGTCGTACTCTTCCTCGTCCTTCCTCACCTGGTGACCCTCCGCGCTCCTCGCCTCGTGATTCTCTGCGGGTTCCTCCTCTCCTCTGCTCGTTCTCCTCCGCACTCCTCCTTTTTTTGATCTTATGCGTCCTCGGGGATCTCTACTCGCGGATGCGCTGCTGTCTCAGTCGCTTAGCGCCGCGCCGCAGGAGACGCCCAAGAAGGAGGTGCGCCCCGTGGCTCGCATGGCGCAGCTGGCGGTCGACGCGACCCGGGGCCGCGGCCGCTCCGCTCCGCGATCAGTCGAACGAGCAGTAGCATAGGGGGCCGCCGAAATCCCATGCGAAATCCCGCGCATGGAATTTCGCATGGGATTTCAGCTGCTCTCTACGAGGCTGACAGAGCTTCTGGTGGGACCCCCGAAACGAACACGACAACGACGACGACGACGACGACTACGACGACGACTACGACTACGACGACGACGACAACAACCGCGACCACGCCTCGCCCAGAGCGTTCCACGCCCTGAGCGACTACGACCACGACTACGACGACCGAGCATCCGCGCCTCGCTCAGAGCGTTCCACGAGCGCCCGAATCGCCCCGAACGGCAGCGGGACACGCCTGAGCTGGGGCACCAGAACCTTTCGCCTTTCAGACATTGGCTGTGCCAGCCAAGTGCAATCCCATGCTAGATCACTTGCGTGTGATCTCGCATGGGCATTCGGTTGCCCCCTCCTCCTCCTCCTCCTCCTCCTCCTCCTCCTCCTCCTCCTCTTCCTCCTCCTCCTCCTCCTCCGCTCGCTCCTCCTCCTCCCCCTCCCCCCCCTCCTCCCCCCCCTCTCCTCCCCCCCCCCCCTCCCCCTCCCCTCATCGGTCGCATGCCCGCCCCTGGATGTTGTATCTTTCCTCGAAGCGCGTTCTGTTCTCCTTGGGATTCGGGGCCTCGGATGCCGCGTCGATCCGCGGGCCCGCCACGGACGCCAAGCGTGTCCTTCGGTGGACTAGCTTCTCCTTTGTCTTTCGCCCTCCTCATCCGTCTCCGCCTTCTCCTCCTCGTCTCCTCGCCTTCCTCCTCCGACTCCCGCTTCTGCCGGCGCGTCTTTGTCAAGCGAGCCTTACTGCGGGGGGGCAGTGGCTGGCGCGCCCGCGCGAGCGCCGCGGAGATGGACAGCAGATAGGAGCTCGACAAGGACATGCTCCGAGCTGTCTGGCAGCTCCACATTCCGACGGCCCGTTGCGTTCATCTTTAACCCATTTCATTCATATCCTCCTCATTCCCCTTATTATCATCGCCCCCCCCCCCCCCACGCCGAGCAAGGCCGACTCGGCGCGGTGCGCCGCCCAGGACCTCCAGAAAGCCAAGATGAAGAAGTCTGGCATCCTGGCCCGCGCGAAGCTGCTGGTGAACGCTCGCAAGGTCTGCGTCGGGATCGCTCGGAAGTCCGCAGAGGCTGCGCAGGAAGTGGAAGACAGCGAGGAGACATACGGGCACGAGGTTTATGGGGGGGCGGGAGAGGAGAGGGATGAGGAAGACGAGGAGAAGTTAGTTCAACCCAGTCGCATCACCGCCACCATCCCGCCCCCCTCCTCCTACTGCCCGTCGGGGATGAGGAGGCGGGGGGGGGCGGGCGAGGGGGCGGGGGAAGAGGTGGGAGGCAGGGGCGGAGGAGGGGAATGAGGATGAGAATAGGGGAGTGGAGGAGGACGAGGCGGAGGAGCAGGAGGACGAGGAGGAGGGGGAGGAGGTGAGCGGCGGGGGAGGAGGATTGAGGGGTGAGCGAGAATATTTAGGAATCCCCAGGCTGTGCCGAAAAAGGTCGGGAAGTCAAGCGAGTCGAAGTGGCGCCTATCGACGGATCTGGGCGACTGGGCCTGCGACGCCGCGCGGTCGCTGCGCTGCGTGATCCGCCATGCGCGGCAAGCTCTCTGCAAGACCTTTGGGCGAGAAGAGGGGGCGGGGTGGGCGGCCTGGCGGTTCTCGGCGACAGCCGCAGTGATGGCAAGATGTTGGGGTCGATCCTCGCCCCCCCCCCCCCCCCTCCCCCCCGCGCGGCCATCGAGGGTGAAAGTTTTTTCGGGGGGGGGGATGGGGGGGGGGGGGGGGGGGGGGGGGGTGGGGGGGGGGGGGGGGGTCTGGAGGAGGAGCTAGAAGAGGAGGAAGCTGAGAAGCCTGAGGAAGGGTAAATGGGGTGAGGAGATGAGGGAGGCGAGAGAAGGGTCGTGGAAGGGCAAGGGATTGCCGATGATAGGGAGGCCGAGGCCGAGGGGGTTCGGGGGTAGGGTAGGTAGGGGAGGAAGGAGAGGAGGGGAGGAGGAGTGAGGCGGAGGAGGATGAGGATGGGGGAGAAGAGGGGATGTGTAATGAGGCGGGGTCCCGCCGACTGCGCGAAACGCCGACGACGACCGAACGACGGCGACTGCGACGGCAAGGGAGAGCATCGTATATATAATCAACGAGGACAGCAAGAAAGAAAGGGTGACAGAAACGCCCAGCAAGGACTCCTAGCTTCGCGCTTCGCGTCTTCCTCGAGGGTAGCGACGCCGCCGCGGAGGAGGATGACGACCCCGCGGGGGAGAGCGAGAAACTCTCGGAGGACGAGGGCGAGGACGACTCCGCGGAGGAGGGCGAGCCCGCGCCCGTCGTCGTCAGACCTTCGCACAGGAAGTCGGAGACGCAGAAGAAGGTCGACATGCCTCCTTTTCCTCGTCCCGAATCCTCCTCCTCCTCCCCCTCCACCTCCTCCTCTTTCTCCCCCTGCATCCTCCTGCGTGCTTCCCACTCCACATGGCTCTCATCATCGTCGCCCTTCTCCTCCTCCCCCTCCTTTTCATGATTCCCCATCTCCGCCCCTTCCTGATCCCCCGCGGTCCTCTCCGCACCCCCCCTTTCCCGTGCTTCCTCCTCTTCTTCCTCCGCACCCATCCTGATTCATCTCGTGTTTGATTGTTTGCGCTAGGGCTTATCGGCGTCGGCTGCGGGCGTCGGCGACAAGGGCGCGCGGGCCGCGCTGAGCTTGACGGCCATCGCGCGCAGGGGCGGGTGGGACTTGGGCTACGACAGCCAGATGCAGGTTTGAGCGTGGGGAACCCCCGCCCTGTCGAGCCCCCATGTCGCGCCCGCCGCGACGTCGTCGCTGCAGGGGTATGAACACAAGAGGGAACACGTGGAACCTATGGGCCGATGGACATGGGACAGATTGACCGATTTGTGTCCATATGTGTGTACATATATTTTTCTATATTTATATATATGTGCAGTATGTTCATCTATCCATACAGTCATCTATATATGTCCACAGACACAAGGGGGGGAGGGGCTCGACAGGGCTTCGCTGGGATCGCACGGAGGTGGCGTGGAGGGCCGGCGTCAAGGACTCGAGCAAGTTGAAGCAGGTTGTCCCAGGGTGCGCCATGGCGAGGAAGCATGACGGCGAGACGCGCCCCGTGGCAACGTTCTCCGACGGCGCGGCGCGGGCCGCGCCGAACGCGAGCGAGGTGGGCTTGGACAAGCCGCTCTCCAGCAACGAGGAGTATCGCGGCACCAAGGACAACAAGGACGTCGCGGTCGCTTGGGTGAACCACGCGACGCGCGGGGTCTGGCTGCAGATCAAGGAGGGCAAGGAGCAGAGGATCGAGGACAAGAGCTTCCGCGATGAGCGCAAGAAGGAGGCGACGGCGTTCGCCATCGATATTGCCAAGTTGTTCATCGAGGGCAAGGTGGGCAAACCAGAGATGGAATCTCGGAAGTTCGACTTCCCGAAGTTCGGCAACGACAGCTGCAGGGCCGCTGGCTAGGCAAAGGAAAAGGCCACGGCGAAGGGCAAGGCAAAGGCGAAGAGCAAATCGATGGCCAAGACGCTCGCGCTGGCGGCCTCCGAGATGCCAGATGATGACGACAGCTCGAACGACGACCCGAATGAGTCCACTGACAGCGCTCATAATAAGGACGACGAGGAGTCGGAGGACGGCAACGAGGACGAGGAGCTGGAGGCCTCTGAGGGCGAGAAGTCGGACGGCCAGGACGTCGACGAGCCTGCTCTTGCGAGGAAGCGCCCGGCTGCTGCTACCAACGGCGACGGCAGGGGCGGGGGCGGCCGCGAGCTGAGGAGGCGACCAGCGGCAGCTGCTCCACCCGCGGACGCAGGCGCACGCCAGGCCGCGGACGGCGGAGGCAAGGGCTTCGAGAAGATCGCCAAGGGCATCGCCAGGGACGCAGAGAAGATCGCCAAGGGCATCGAGCTAGTGACGCCCGAGGCGATGGAGAAGAAGCCGCCCGAGGCGTCCCCGTCGCCAGCGGCGCCTGCCCCGAAGGCGCCGAACAAGGTCGTGGTGCCGCGGGGGACTGTGCCGTCGTACTTCGACAGTTTCATCGACGAAGACAGCCCGTTCTGAACGCCGCGATAAGACTGCTGAAAAGACAAATCATCCATCCTCATCCTCGCCCACCTCCCTGATGCGCAGACAGCTCCTCCATCCGCGCCCACCCCCATGAGTCGGATACCTCATCCATATTCGGACAACTCCGCCATCGCTCATCCTCGCCCCCCTCATCCATCCTCGCTCGCCGCTCGAGGGGGGGGGGGGGCGCTGCGGAGAAGCAGTGTCCAAGGGCCATTGGCGCCCTCGATTCCACGCTCGGACGCGCTTGCCACACTGGCCCTGCACCCCATCGGTCCTTGGGCGTCACAGAGCTGGTGCGCGATGTAGCCGCTGACCCCGCTAGCGAGGTAAGATGCTTCAGGCCTGATATGTCCCTCCCGCTTTTTTTGTTTCTCTCTCTCTCTCTCTCTCTCTCTCCCTCTCTCTCTCTCTCTCTCTCTCTCTCTCTCTCTCTCTCTCTCTCTCTCCCCCAAAAAAAACCCACACAAAAAAAACACCACAAAAAAAAAAAAAAAAAAAACAAAAAAAAAAAACCACACCCACACAAAAAAAACACCACACAAAAAAAAAAAAAAAAAAAAAAAAAAAAAAAAATAACACTGCCCCACCTCTCTCTCTCTCTCTCTCTCTCTCTCTCTCTCTCTCTCTCTCTCTCACTCTCTCTCTAGTCTCGGCTCGAGAGTGCCCAGCACTCAGACCGCAGCCGCGACGCGAAGCGCCCCGCCTCGGAGTCAGACTCCCAGGCCTCGCGAGACCGGAGGGGTCCCAGCAGGACCCTACTGATTCGCGTCACCTCTCCTCACCAGAGCGCCCGCGCAATGGCCCCCAAGAAGCCGGAGCGCCGTCGCTCTTCTAAGCAGCCTCCGAGTTCCCGTCCCGCGCGCCCTGCTGCCGAAGGGTCTCTCCTTCAACGCAAGCAGGACTGCGTCGCAGCGTTCAAGCAAGCGGGGTCTGACCGCCCCACGGCCGCATACAACGGGCTTGCCGAACTGAACGCAGACGAGCTCCAGGCAACGTACGACATGCACAAGTCCAACACGAAGAAGCTTGGCAGCGCCCTGATCCGCATGTGCGCCGCCAACCAGATCAGCTACACGCTTGATCACCACCAGCGCAGCAAGCCTAAGCGCAGTGGCGGTGACACATCACACCCACCAGCTGGGTCCGCACGTCTTCAGGCTGCGGACGCCCAATTCATCGCCTTGGACCCGACCTTTTGGAAGGTCCCTGTCCTCGCCGAACCCACATCTCCTGACGACGGCAAGACGTACAAGCCCAGTATCAGCCTCCACGACTACGAGAGCGGTGAACGGCTGCTGCAACACCACCTCGAGCAGGGTAAGCGTACCACGGGTCAGCTTGCGATTGCTGTCATGGGCCCAAAAAACGATCACTACGTCGGTACCGAGCTCGCCGTCCCCGTGCTGAAGCGTCACCCCAAGGCGCCCAAAGTGGTCCACACGCACGTCCCCGTGACCGTGTACCAGCTGGGCACCAAGGAAGTCGCCTGCACGGAAAAAGTATCCGTCGCCACCATCGATCCTGCCGACCACGTATGCTGGATTCGGGTGACCATACATGAAACCGAAGCCATTCCAACGAACTGCATGAACATCAGGCCTTCGGAGGACCAGTTCTCGGGACGTGCCCCCGGAGGTGCCCCCGTGAACCGTGGTCCACGCGCCAAGGTCCTTTTCCGAGGGGAACTCCGCTCCCAGGCCAAGGCGGACAAGGCGCGCAAAACCAAAAAGCACACGGAGTCCCAGAAAGACGCCGCCGCCAGTAAGCCTCGATATTCTCTCCATACACCTTTCAAGGCCCTCTTCCACGGCAACTTTAAAGCCGTCACCATCCTCGAACCCTGCAAAAGCCTAGGCAGGTATGGATCGGGCGTCGGAAAGAGGTCACTGGCTGCCACCTTCGGCGTCAGTCTTCAAGCGGTTGACAAGGTCTTGGCGGGTTCAGGGCAACTCGGCGCCACCTACGACCTCAGCAACGTAGGTGCAGACGAGCCCACTGCAGATAAGTACCAGACCGTGTGGTTCCCTGAGGACCAGCCCATCACGATGGCAGATGCGTTCCAGAAGTCGGTGGATTTCAAGGCCCTGGGAGTCGTCAGGCACGGCAAGTCAGGCTTATTGGGGATCCGTGTTTCACGGGGGTCAGACGCCGCCAAGGCCGCTGCCGTCAGCATCCGCGGCTGCGAGGCCACCCTCGCCAAGACGCGCTACCGCATCACTGGCATTGCGGCACGCCACGCCACGCTGACCCAGCTCGCCAAGACTCTCACGGGCCCGTCCGTTAAATGGGACTGTGAGGTCTACCACACCGCCTGGGACCCAGCCACTTCGGCTCAGTTTGCCTTAGTGCGCGCCCATCGTCCCCCACTCACATATACGGTACGGGTCGCAGGGTGCCACATCCCGTGGAGCATCACCGAGGCCCCGCTGGCTGAGGTGGTGCCGAAGAGGGACAACGTTACCATCGTCACGCCTACCACCATCACAGAGCCTGTGACGCCGCCAGCCCGTGGTGGCGGCTTCAGCCCCGCCACTGGCACACTCCTCACCAAAGCGGCCCAGAGCCCTAACCTCCACGACCTCATGACTGCCACGCCCAAAGGCAAGGGCGTCGCACCGCTCCTGATCCCCAAGGAGGAGCCTTTAGCCAATCGCCACCGATCCTCCAGCGGGAAACGCGACGCCACGCCGCACGCAAGATCACACGGCGCCCCAGGCCGCAGCTCCTCTGCACCCCCGCACGGCACGGACGGAGCCGCTGAACAGACGGCCGTCCCAGGATCAGGTGGTCATGACTCTCGGCTTGGCACGGTGGCGGCTGAAGGTGGGGGCCACACCGAAGGGGACGCTGCCACAGCCGCCGAAGTACCAGGCGACGCTGACGACGTCGAGATCCTCTCATCAGGCGATGAATACAGCGTGGCTTCCCACGAACTCAACACCTTCGGCGAACGCTTCGCATCGGCCTCTAAACTGCCAGATGCCGCCACGACCCGCATCCAACACATGGAACAACAGCACGAGCTGCTTGCCAACACGGTGGATAACATGCAGGTTCAGCTTGCGGGCGTTCTCTCCTCCCAGGCCATACTTACGGAGCACGTCTCAGGTTTGGAACGGGGGCTTGCCACCGTCGTCACCCAGCAACAGACGGCAACCGCCGAAGCCGCTGCACTGCGTGGCGACATCCAGGCCCTCCTCGGGCACCTCACGGGGGGCACCATCCACCTGCCACAAGTGGCCACTCTGGAAACTAAGAAGGAGGAAGCTGCAGCGGCCGCTGAACCCGTGGCTGTCTGCGGGTGGATCGACCAGCCAGGCCAGGTCACCCCAGGGACGGGGCCCCCAGGGGCTGACAAAGGCAAAGACAAGGGTCGGGCCACCCAGGAACCCTATTGAAGGTGCCTCAGAGAGCCTGCCTCAGCCCTCCGAGGAAGCGCCTTCAGAGGCATCTCTTCCCTCTCCGCGTCGTATCTCTTTCTTGTCACCTCATGTCTGTTTTGGCAGCAGTACGCGCAAGCTATCTGGTGTAGGGACACCCGTCATCTTGCAGGGGGCGTGATTGTTGCAATGTACGTGAGCATGCAGGGGTATTTGAGGATGCGTGCTGACATGCAGCTTTTGGCTTATCGCTCGCGCCGCCCGCCAGGCCTCGCCATCATGTGGCGCCTTGCCTGCAGCCTGGCCCTCCCCTCGATCGCTGGAGCACACCCGTCTTCAGGCGGTGCGCCCCAGCATGGAGGAGAGTTTTTCCTGCGACACGCTGAACGTGGGACTTTCTTCTACCTTAACGATGACAGCATCAACAAGCACGATCACTGCACCATTTTGGACCCGATCATGAACAGCACCGCCGCCGCGGGTCCGTGCGGCAACGGAGCGCTGGGCGCCATCGCAAGCGCATCCACGCCCTCGTCAACTACGACACATGCTTCGCAGTCCACCCCCAGCGTGGCTTCGACCGTTGTGCAGCATATCCTTGACGGGGACGTTGACAAAGGCCAGGCACGCAGTGGCGGCTTCAGCCCCGCTGGCGTGCCCCGCTATAGCCCCACGGGTTTCATTACCCCTCTGTGCGCTAGGGGCGAACCCGAGGAGGACCCCGCTTTCTGGCACCTGATGATGATCCGAGCCCGGCTCATACCGTGCGCTGCGGCGTGGGCACCAGGTGAGGACCACCAGGACGTGTTCTGGGCATGGCTCGAGGACTGCGTCCCGTACATCCTGGCGACGCTCCATCTGCCACAGTACGACCACCTTTTCCAGGAGGACTCCGAGGAGACAACCGACGCCCTGCGCCAGCGCACCGCGATCGAC